CCAAAAGTTGGTGGGTGGGTGCAGAGCACCCACCGGCAGCTCCCCGCTCCTGCTTGGGGCTCACCTCTGCTCCACCTCCCTGGGCCTGAGCACACCGCCGCTTGCTTCTCTGCCCCAGGCTTCCCGCGCGAACAGCTGATTCGCGGGAAGCGGGGTGTGTATGTGGAGAAGCAGAGCGGGGCGGCGCCTTCAGGGGAGGAGACGGAGCGGAGGTGAGCTGGGGTCGGGGCGGGGAGCTGCCGGTGGGTGCTCTGCACCCACCCACCAACTTTTGGAGCACCCACGAGTCGGCACCTAAGGCGCCACTTTTGGATATGTGCTCAGTGGAGGAGCGGCCGCTTCCCCTGCTCCCCCCCTAGCTACGCTACTGCCGAGCGGCCCCAGGGCGCACCCGACCGGCTGCACTCCAGGATGTAGTCGCTGGGACAGTCCGGTGCGCACGCCCAGTCATGGAGCAGTTCCAAGTCCTGGTTCACCAGCTGGGCTGCTCACATCACGGAGCCATGAGCACAGAGCGCACGGGCCCTTCCCTGGGACGGGCCGCAGGAGAGCCTGGTTCCGAGCCGGGTGTGCTGCTCGGGGCCCCGCCCCTCCCTGCCAGGGCCAGAGCGCTGCAAAGGCTAATGGCTAGAGCACTGCTGGGGAGCTGGGCTCGATCCCTGCCTCTGCCCTGTCTCACCCACCAGGGAGTCACCCCGGCTGAGTGCCTCCGTTTCCCTACTGGCAGCACAGAGCCACGCTGGGGTGCTGGGAGAGTTCACTGTTCGACCGTTGCTGGCTGGAAGGCCCCTGGGCAGGCAGGGGCTGACTCGTTACCTTATCACTCACCTCACCCCACTGCCCACCAAAAATGGGGTGAGCAGCTTCCCCCAGGAGCCAAAGGCCCCAAGCCCACCTCCAGGCTGAGGGCGAGTGCCAGCAGGGCGGCAGCTCGGCCGAAGACAGCACCGTCCCTGTCTGATCGGCAGCCCTGGGAGCCCCTCCTGTAGCATGCTGGTTCCCGGCGGTGCTGGGCCAGTGTGCACGGAGAAGAGGAGCCGCGAGGGGCCAGCAGCAGGGCTGCCCAGATGCCCACGTGCTTAGAGCACCCCGGGAGCGGCCCTGGTGTGGAGCTGCATGGGGACCTGTGAAAGGAGAGTCCAGAGACGCCAGCTTTGGAAAATCTTTATTCCTCCCACCAGTGCGGCTAATACAGGAATGCGAGGAAGCCTGGCCCAGGCCCGGCAGCGGCGTATCACCCCCACAGCAGAGTACAACCGTGCCCCAGGGCAGCCACACTGACCCTCCCATGGCCCCAGGAGGCCGGGCAAGGCAGACTGCGAGGGAAGAACAGGCAGCCAGGGCCCAGCTGGGCTCAGATGCAGGAGCTCCAGGGTCCCAGCTCCCTCCACGCCCTGTGGCGGCAAAGCCAGGTCTGGCGCCTCCTTGGGCACGTCCCTGCCTGCAGCGTCAGAGCATCCCCGCTTCCCCCCCATGCCTCGGCCCCAGAGCAGCGTCTGCCTACACTGCCCCTGCCCTGGCCCGCAGGACGTGGGGAGGGTCACAGGCTGCTCTGCTCTCTGGGGGTAGCACAGGCTCAGAACACGCTGCGCCCCAGGCCACTGGAGTGGGGTTACAACGAGGCTATTTCAGTCAGGGCCCCGCCTCTCCTGCCACGCAGGCCATCGCCTTGAGTCCTGTGCTGCCTCGCCTGGCTGGTTCTGGGAGGGCCTGGCCCTGTTAGCGTAGGTGGCATATCCAGCTACCTGAGGGAGCCGGGAGGAGCCTGCACCACAGGGCCTGGGGACAGCCACAGTCCAGCACTGGAGCACAATGGGAGCCGCCCGCTGCTGGTCACTAGGACAGAGGCACAGTAACCAAGCGACCTGCCTGGAGACAGGCCTGGGCTGGCAAGAACTGTCTGGGCGCAGACACACTGGCATGCACGGGGGGGCACGTGGAACAGGAAGGACCCCTGGGGCACCAGGACTGGCCTCCCAGCAGAGCCCGGGGACCGGCCCCACACAGCAGGATGCAACGCTCGCTGTGCGAGCTCCGTGTCCAGGCCTCCCTCTGCCAGCACTGCTGCTAGGCTAGCTTGGCCCTCCCCGGGCAGGGAGAGCCTCTCGCCTAAGGCCTGGGCCCTGGCCTGGAGGGACGGGCTGAGCGTGGAGAGGCCGGGGGTGGAGCAGACACAAACCTGACAGGCTGAGGGAGGCTGGCAGGGAGCAGGGGCGCAGGCCGGCGGGCGGCGGAGGCTGGGACAGACGCCTGGCACAGGGAGGGAGAGGCGCTGGCGGCTGGTCGCTGCTGGTCGCTGCTCGCAGCAGAGGCAGGTGCTGCTGGCGCCGCTTGTCCTGCACGCGGGGCTCTGGGGAGGAGGGAGTTTGAAAAGGAAGTTCAGGAAGGGGCTGGCGGTGTTGCTCACCCCCTCCCCTCCCCTCCCCCAGTGCCCCACAGGACCCCATGCCCCCTGCCAGGCGGAGGAGCCTGCCAAGCGCAGAGGCACTGCCTGACACCAGCCCCTCCAAACTGGGGGCTGGGGCTCAGCACATCCAAGAGCAGAAGGCGCAAGTGGCCCCCTGGGGACCCCCAGGGACAGGACAATCTGCAGCCAGGTCCGGCTGTCACCTGACTCCAGATGGCCCTGGCAAGGGCAGCAATTCCCCGTGCCCTGCCCAGGGCACCACTCCCCCGAGGCACTCAAAGCACGGCCAGGCCGCCACACCTGGGTGCTGGAGCCAGGCTCTGAAACGGGAGGGGCCGGATCGGCAGCCCCAGCTCCCGCTGGAGCCAGAGCTGCAGGCACGCCTAGACACGTCTAGCTCGGAGCCTGACTGGAGCCCCAGGCTGGGCCATTCAGTCAGCTCAAGGCATGGCAGAGAACTGGCACGACAAGCCCCCCTCCAGCTCTCTCCACACCCTGCAGCTGCCGGGGGGCTGATGTGTCTTCCAGCCCGCGAGGCCTCAGGGGAGAGCACAGCACTGAGCACACAGGCCCACCCTTCCACAACACGCCACAGCCACCTCTGGGGAGGAACACAGCAGCTGCTAAGCAGCACATGGCAACCCCCCACAGCAATTTAGGACAGGAAGTGAACAACAAGCGGCGAGGGAATTTTAGGGTGACAGTTTAATGATCAAGTTAGGAACCAGGCCAAGGTATTGTGGTTAAACTCTTCCCAAACGCCATGGCATCAGGCCGCCATTTGCCATCTCCTGTGACCCTCAGGCTGCCGCGAGCACAGGGGCCAGCAGTGACTGGCTCACTTGCTGGCAGGGCACACCCTGGCCCCGACCTGCAGTCGCTGCCTCTCGCGCTGGTGAGCTCTTTGGGCAGGTCATACAAAAGGGCCCCAACCCCACTTGGTGCTTTTGGGCACGTTTCTGCTGCCCCATTCCAGTGCCACAGCTGGGGGGGAGGGAGAGGGGCCCACTGGGAATGAAATGGAGCTGGCAGCAGCCCCACTCGGCTCCACAGGGCTCAGCACACAGCAGGAGGGGTGTAACGGGGGAACAGCTGGCCTGGCAGGAAGCCCCTGCGTGGGTAGCACGCTGGAGGGGAGACGGCTGGTGTTATTTCTGCAGCAGCAGAGCTGGGCACAGCGTCTTACGGGTAGATCAAGGAAGCCCCTGGTCCTCCCCCAAGGAGCCGGCCCTGAATTCAAGTGCGTGGAGCTGCTCAGCGACGTGACTTACAGGCCTCTCTGTCGCTCAGTTCCTACAGCCCCTGGAGACGCAGCAGCAGGCAGCTGCCTAGTGAACATGCAAGCTGGCCGTTTGGACGGGGACCCTTTTCCATGGAGGCAGGCGTGGAAAGGGGTTTGCTGAGAGCTGTGTCCTTTCACCCCCCCGTACAAGCTATCCATGCTCCTCCGAGGTGAAGAGCTGGCCCCCTTTCTGCTCGTGCACCACCCAGCCCGGAGCCGGCGCTGCGCGGGGACCAGGCAGGAGCGGGGACTGGGCGTGCACAGCAAGCTGCGGCTGAAAGCCCAGCTGGAAGGGAGTCAGCCAGGCCGGGAAACACAGCTGCCTTGTGCAGAACAACCCTGCCCAGCAGTTCCTACCACGGTCTCAGCCAGCAGGTGGAAACAAAAAAAGGGCTGTTTGAGCAAAGCAAAAACCTTCTATGAAAAACTTCCATTTTGGTCAAAAGTCCCCCTCCCCCCCCCCCCCCCCCCCCCCAACCAGAAACTGGAAACTTTGTGAAAGTTAAAAACATGCCAGGTTCCTACAAACGCTGCTTGGCGTGTCTGTGCCCGCTCTCGTCAGCCATGGCCCTCGCCCGCCCGCCCCCTGGCTCGGGCTAGGCTAGCCAGTGCCTCTCTGCTGCCCTGCCCCACTCTGCCAGAGCCGGGCCGGTGGAAACAAGCTCTTTGAGATGTCTGACCCTCTGGGTGCTGCACGGCCGGTGCGCATAGACACCAGCCTGGGGGACGGGGCAGTGTCAGACGAACCACCCTCTCAGTTCCTTCGTAACCACAACGTCCCACCGAGATGAGATGAAGCAGACGGGAAGGAGGGTGGGTGGCGGAGCACCCGTAGGGACAAATCTTCCAGAACACCAGGCCTGGGCGGTGTAAGTAACCTCGCCTTTTCAAACCGCGTCCCGCGGCATGCTCCACTTCAGGCGTTGCCCACACTGCGCGCTGTCGAGAGGATCCAACCTTGCGCTTGGAGAGTCTCTGAGGAGAAATGGGGGCCCTTCTAATTCTGTCTGCCTGGAAGACACCCGGCAGGGTTTAGTCTTGTCCAAATAAAAAGCTAACGCTCTCCTGCCATCTAAGGTGTGAAGTGCCGGTGAATGAGGCCCTGATTGACATCCAAGTCTGGGGATGGGGTTGAAAGATACCTTTTCGTTACAGAAAACGGTGTGTGCGTGAGGGTGGCGGGGTGTTACCACAGAGTCCCACTGGCAGTTCACTCCTGTGGCAGCAGCTTGTCAGGCCTGGCACCCTCACTACGTCCATCGGTATCCGAAAGGCGTGATGTAAGGCATACACAAACTGGTGACACTCTGGTCCCAAAAATCATCGTGTGTGTTTATGTCTGGGGTGTGTAAAAAAATTAGAAATAGATGCTAGAATTCAGTTCTTAAAATGCATCTGGCAAGCAGGCCAGGAACCCCAGCCCGCCTAAGCCAAAGGGATACGCAGCTCCTTGTCTGACCAGCCTGGTCGCCAGGCAGAGACAATGAAGGTACATTTACATGCAAGGTAGACAAAGCCATCAGGCAAACCAGAATGGGGGATGGACACTTAACACTTTAATGGGGAATGGAAGCTGCAGCTCCAGGAAACCTTCCTGAGTCTTTGGAAGATATAAGCAATGACAGAAAGTCATTTTGGCATCCACTCCTGGGCAGACAGAAGAGACCCGAGCGGTGCAGCTGTAAAAAGTGGAGGTTCAAAGTCTCTATAAACTGAATCTAGGTGAAAACCTGACTTGGGGCAAAAGACTATAGTTTGTTAAATTAGATTTTATTCTTAGAAGCGCATCTTTTACTTGTTTGTTTGTAATGATTTAATTTGGAGACGAGACGACTAAGGGGGGATATGACCGAGGTGTGGAGAAAGTAGACAAGGAAGTATTATTTACTCCTCATAACACAAGAACTAGGGGTCACCCAATGAAATGAATAGGCAGCAGGTTTAAAACAAACAAAAAGAAGAATTCCTTCACACAACGCACAGTCAACCTGTGGAACTCATTCCTAGAGAATGTTGTGAAGGCCAAAAGTATAACTGGGTTCAAAAAAGAACTAGATAAATTCATTGAGAATAGGCCCACCAATGGCTATTAGCCAAGATGGGTAGGGATGCAACCCCACGCTTTAGGTGACCCTAAACCTCTGATGGTTAGAAGCTGGGAATGGATGATGGGTTGGATCACTAGATAATTGCTCTGTTCTGTTCATTCCCTGTGAAGCGCCTGGCACTGGCCGTTGTCAGAAGACAGAATACTGGGATAGGTGGACCACTGGTCTGACCCAGTGTGGACATTCTTATGTTGTAGGACATAGGCTCCCAAACTGTGGGTTGTGGCCCCAAATGGGGTTGTGCCGTAAGCATATGGGGAAGCAGGTCCAATGGGCCTGAGAGATGATGCTGTCAGCCCCTGAATGTGTCTGGACCAGCTCCACAAATCCCTTGTTGGCTCAGATATACTGCTGCTGGAGCCAGATGCTGGGTATGAACTCTGGGCGTGGTGCTCTGGACCAAGGGTAAAAGGTAGGTATTTGCAATGGGAGAGTCTTAAGGAAATATGCATCTTTGAGATCGAGAGCGGCAAACCAAACAGGGAAGGAATAATCACAACCAGGGTTAGCATCCGGAACTGACTCTTCCTAATGTGTCTGTTTAAAGCTCTGAGACCAAGAACTGTTCTGAGCCCTCCATTCTCTTTTGGGATTAGAAAGTGTCGGGAGTACAGCCCTTTGTTTCTGGAAGTTAATCATACTTCTTCTATAGCTCCTGCTTGCAACAGAGCTTGTATTTATGGCCTCAATAACCTCTCCTGGGAAGGGGCCCTGAAAAGGGTGGGGAGGGGGGATTTGCATGGAGGAAGGGATTTGAACTGGATAGTATCACTTGTCTTTACCCATCCGTTGGAGGCGACAGTTGTCCATGCAGTGCAGAAATGGGACAAGTCTCCAGTCATGGGGGTAGGATGGTCTGAAAGTGAAGCTCTCAATCTTCATGTCAAACTGCGGCCTGACATGAGGCAGAGAGGATACGGCCGAGGAGTTTTGTCCTCATCTGAGGCTTGTAGGATTTCTTCCTCTTCTGTGGTGGAGGACCTTTGGCGGCGGTGGTGGTGCTGCTGATAGTGTGTCTGTCTCTTTTGATTATAAGCCAAAGAGGAAGGAAAGTATTTCCTGTGACACCTGAAGACAGGCAGAGGTGCTTTCCTTCTATAACGAGGCAGTAATTCCCGAGATCTCGCAGTGGAGCGTGTCTTTTCCAATAGCGCA